ATACATACTTTTCTTTATATATTTTGTTTTGTTATTATGTATAAATATATTGATTTCCAGTTAATACATATGGTGTATTTTTTTTCCTTTTTTAATTCGATTATTTTTTAGATTAATCAGATGACATGTTTGTTCAATATAGACATACAATTGAAAACTATTACAATTGAACACTTTAAAAAATTGTTATGTTTTTTTAAGTTGTTAATAAATGTGTAAATAAAAATATCTTTAATTTTACGAAGCAGTTAGGCATTTTTTTTGAAACCACAATCCTTCATCATTCATATTTTACCTGAACAAAAGTCTACGCAAATATCTGACGTAAACTTCAAATTATGTAAATTATTAAAAATTAAATGTTACACATTAACTTTTACTTGAAAATTTTATGAGGGCAATATTTTCTTAATTTTGATTTATATGAATTTTTATAAAGCATTAAAGGCCATTTTATAAAGGTTTATAAACAATTTAATGCTGCTTTATAAAGTTCAATAAGTCTTTAGTTTATTAAACAGTGTTAAAAGATAATACTGTAGCACGCCAAACTGGTTGAAATAATTAATTTTTTTATCAAAGTAAAGCAATTTTAAAGATCTATAGAGATTATATGCATATCATATATAAAGATATACTATAACAAAAGAAAAGGGAGAGAATTTTTTAAAAAGCTTTTTGAAATTTCTAAAAACACGAAAACAACGTTCAAAGTTTGTTGCGCACGTATGTCACGTTAGAGTTTAAGGTTTCAATGTGCTTAGTAATAAAGTGTGCGCATTTAAGAGAACATTCTTTTTTAAAGAAAAAAGATTTTACATGGAAACTTTACTTTTCTTTGAAATTAACAGAGCAAGAGTCCTAATAACAGGGATATTTTCTGAATTTTTCTCAACTTTTATTTTTTCTGAATAGCCAAAACGTTTTCTACACATGTTTAGGAATACATTTTTAAATATATGTTATATATATATATATATATATATATATATATATATATATATATATATATATATATACACATATATATATAGTTTACAGAAGTTGTAAAGTATTGAAAGTTAATCATTAACTCAAAACAAAGATTTTTATATTTTGGTCTTTTTTAAAAATTATTGAAATAAAATGAAATTATTTAAATGGTAGGTGTGGACTAACCATGACCAGTAATATATTTATATTCATTAATAATTATACGGGTTATGGTAAGTCAGTTATTCCATATATTTAAGTCATCTCATATTATTTGAAACTTTTTATACCAATGGTATTTAATTTCAAGCTGGTTTTCTAAATATTATTTAGGCTGGTACTGATATCCGATTTGTTGATAAATAGCGATTCACGTAACGTCTACCGAAACGTTAAAAGTTTTTTAAAGTTAAATATAAAAGAAAATTTATCTTCAAGCTTTAAAAAATAAACAATAAGTATTGTTATTATATATGTATTTAATTATTTTTTTACCTCTTACTAAAATATATTGAAGTAAGGAATAAGTATAGAAAAGGTTGGCGTGGAATAGATTTACCAAGACCTGTATTTTACGGGTCATGACAGTTAGTAAGCATTTATTATTCTAAAAACGAATTCTGAACTAGATTTCAAAAAAGGAATGTAAGCATTTATTAATCTAAAATTATTAGTATTATTCTAAAAATTAGTAAGCATTTATTCTAAAAACGAATTCTGAACTAGATTTCAAAATAGGAATGGATAATAGAGCGAGCACACTACACAAAAATTTGTTGCTTCTTGCAGCAGTTTACGATGATATAAAGCATTGCTGAATGCTGATAGCGATTGAAGAAGTTCTCTTTGGAGTTGTATTATTCTCATTAATTCTTACTATACAGCAAAAGCAGGACAAATTAACTTATGGCGCAGTGGTAGCGCACTTACCTAAAAAACAAGGGATTCACGGTTCAAACCCTTATTTAGGCAAGTTTTGAAAAAAAATTCCTGAGTCCAGAGTCCATGATTTTTGACCTTGGAGTCTGGAGTCCTGAAAAATTGATGGAACTCTGCATCCCTGATAAAAACACTAGCAAATATTTTTTATTGTAAACGTAACTAAAAACTTTAAATGAATAATCTTAGTGTTTTCCTTTTTTAGGTTTTATTTTCGTTGTTTATTAAGGTTTGTTGGCCAAGCGGATATAATTATAAAAAATAAAATGTTTAAATACCAAAATGTTTACAATAAAATTTTATTTTCAGTATTATAACATATTAACATTTTTAAGTATTATTTTTTGAAATAATAATAAAAAAAAAACTTATTTTGAAACTAAAACTATTTTGCACCACAACTTGCAAAACAATTCTTAACAGGAAAAAACTTAATAAATACTTAATAGGGCATAATAAATAAATTTAAATACATTTTATGAATCAAATACATATAATTAACCAAGATACTAATTATTATATGGTATTGATAAGTTTCAATTGTAAACTTTTATAAATAAACCAAGACTTTCATAAAATATACTTTTTAAAATGTCATTTATAAATAAGAATTAAATAATGAAGATAACTTGAACAACATTAACATACAAATGCAATTGCATAATCAGAAAACAATGCCTTTGATGAAATCAAAAAAGACCTAATTTAAGTAATGAATGCTAAAACTTAATTATATATTAAAAATGCTTAAAAACAGTTCCTACTTGTTTTCAAATAGAATGATTTTATATTTAGTCAGTTTCACCTTTCTTATTTTTTAGGCGTTCTGTTATATGAACACCTAAAAAATAAGAAAATAAAAAAGGCGAAGCGACAGGGGGCAAAAGGAGCAAAATTTAAAAGTGTGTGTGTGTGTGTATGTATATATATATATATATATATATATATATATATATATATATATATATATATATATATATATATATATATATATATATATATATATATATATATATATATATATATATATATATATATAAGGGCCTATTCTTGGAAAAAGTTAGGGCGGCAGTACCCCCTTGTTTCAGCAGATTTTCCTGCTTAAGTCTGGCGAAACAGGGGGTTACCATCGCCCAAATTTTTTTCCTAGAATAGGCCCTGATATATATATATATATATATATATATATATATATATATATATATATATATATATATATATATATATATATATATACACACACACATTTAAATTTTGCTCCCTTTGCCCCCTATTGCTTTGCCAGTGTTTAAACAAATTTATTTATTTCAAGTATTGACTTTTGGTTGCTTGTTGCCTTTGCAGAAATGGAGATTTAATATTAATTAATAAAAGCTTTAGCGGAAAAGGACTTTTTCAGTAAAGCTTTTAGCTTTCAGCTTTTTTTAATACATTAGTTGTTTTTTTTTTAAACATCTTCACTTCCAACAAGGTTGCAAGCAACCACTATTAGAGTTAGAAGTTACTGGAAGAGAAAAGATGAAGTTTGTAGAGCAAGATAATGATTAACAGATGACTTAAAATATTGCAAATGATATGAATTAGGAAAATAAGATGACGAAAGCAAATTTGAAAGAACTGATGCTCAAGGAAAAAAACTAAACAAATAAAATTTTTTAAAGCACTTAGGAACAGTCACAGTAAAAGAATGAGATTTAATTGCATGACGAGTAACACAAGAATAAGTTTTAGTAGTTGACACAAGAGATGCTAGTTCTTTAGAGTAGTGCCCATTATAGTATTTATAGGAAAGAGAAAGAGAAGCAACATGAAAAAATGTGTTTTTGCACCTTGTCTAAAAGAAAAAGGGCATCCTTCAAAGATCCGCCCCAGATATGGCAACAGTATTTCATACAAGAACCGATTTGAGATTTATAGAGATAAAGAATAGAAACCTGAGTAAAAAAGTGGCGAGCATGATAAAGAGATGCAACCTTAGCTGATGCTAATTTTGCAATTGGTTTGTTATATGGTTTCAAAAAAAGATCAGAAGCAAGAGTTAATTTTAGAAGAAAAACTATGCAATGCTCTATCACAACACCTGCATGGCCTTGCGAAGAGGACTTGTGCAACCAACTTACTGGAACAACGGATTTTTTGACAACGTACACAGAGAGATTATGTCCAATTGCCATGACATACCTCGATTTCAGTAAAGCCTTTGACAAGCTAACACACAAAAGACTGTTACTCAAGTGTGAAGCATTTAGGACATTCGATGTTTTGATGAGATGAATCGAGGTTTTTTTAAACAATTGAAGGCAACACATTGTAATGGGAGAAGTTTCATTGTCATGGTTGAATATACTTATTGGTGTTCCTTATGCATCTGTTATTGAACCTCCTTTGTGTTTGATATTCATCAACAATATTCCAGGAACACTTCAACATATATGTAAAGTTTACACTGATGACAGCTAATATATATATATATATATATATATATATATATATATATATATATATATATATATATATATATATATATATATATATATATATATATATATATATATATATATATATATATATATATATATGTGTGTGTGTGTGTGTGTGTGTGTGTGTGTTTTTAAGGTTATTTAAGAGGTTATCTATTAATTATGACAACAAAATAGGGAGGGGGGTCTAAAAATTTGTTACAATTATTGAGAAGGGGAGGCGGAGGTCAAGAAAAGTTAACATCAGCAATGCAATTTTTGTAAATAAATTTAATTACTTAAAAAAGTAAAAAAAAATGATTTTTTTTCCCATTTTTATTTTAATTAGGGGGAGGAGATAAAAATCACTAAAAAAACTGTTAACATAATTCAGCTCCTAAGGACTTTAAAGGTTGTTTTTTTAAAAGGATATTCAAAGGAGGAATGGGAACCACATATAGTAGTAGCTTCTAAAGTTTGATATCAAAGGTTTTATAAACATTTAAATTACTTTTGTAAAAATTTAATTAAATTTTAAACATTTTAATTTTAACATAAACATTTTATTCTTATGTATGATAAAAGTATATGATATTATTAAACCAATAAAAAATAAAAAATATAACTGACCTCTGTATAATTTTTTTGCATTCCATAAACAACGCAGTGTGTATGAATGATCTGAAAGTGGTTCTAAACTTTTTATTCTGTTTCCAAAAGCAAGCATTGAAATAAATTTACTATTTTGTTGATCATGAGATGACAACTTTTTACATTCGTATAACTCTTTTTCTGTTCTTAGATTTTCCTTCAAGTGTATTTGTTTAGTGGTTTCCATTCCACCTTTTGTTAGAATGCAAAAGAAGCAAGCAAATGGTAGTTGCTAAAAAAAATATTAAAAAAAATACTCATCGGAATGTTTGACGCCACGCAAAAAAACACGAACTTGAACAGTTCGAACCTCACGACGTTACCATGTGCTATTGTGATATGTAATTTTGAAGTATTACCTTTGCATACTGTATGTTTTTAATGTTTTTTTTTTAATTAATTAATAGAGTGATATTAATATTTTTAATTATAATTAATTATAATTAATTATAAATAATAATTATATATTTTATATTAATTATAATTAACTATAATTAATAATAAAATTTATTTTTATGTATTTAATGATAAAATAAAATTACTTTTATGCATTTAATAATAAAATACAATTAATAATAAAATTAAATATAACAAATACTTTATCATGGTATTTTTGTCGATATAGTTGAACGCGTGTTTTATTAAATATTAGCTTTGTTATCAATAGACTCAATATAATCTTCCCATTTTAAATCGTTTTACCCTTTTAGCGCGAAGAGCCACGATCGTGGCTTTAAAAGTGGTCTTTGAAATTATGACTTTTTACAGCAAAATACCGCTATTTATTAAAAATGGTAGCATTGAATAGAGCACATTTTTCTCTATCTTTTGGTATATATATTTGGTTTTGAAAATGAGCGATAGTGAAGAAAGTTGTAAGTATGACGAGAGTTTTGTAAGTATGACGTAAGTATGACGTAGTTTGTAAGTATGACGTAAGTTTGTAAGTATGTAAGTTTGTAAATGTAAGTTTTGTAAGTATGACGTAATTTTGTAAGTATGACGTAAGATTTTCTTAACATTTTTTTTACTTTTTCCAATTAATTTTCTATTTTCTTAATTATTTTTCTATTCTTAAATCTATAAACTTCTTTCGAGTCTTTTACGTTCTAATCTATTGTTTAAATTTTTTCTCATACTCAAAAATCTGCATAAATTTTTCGATTCTTTGACGTTCTTTTCTTTTAAAATGAATGTGCTATTGTTAATACAGCGCGAAAGCTGTGGTAATCCGTTTTTTTGTAGTTCGCGCTTTTGTGTAAAATGTTATGGCCCAGTGCGTCCATCTGTTCGTAATACGTCAGTTAAATCGAAAACTCGTGTTTTAGGTTTAAGGTTTAAATGTATGTGTTTTTTATGTCAGGTTGTAAAATTATCATATTTATGTTTAAGTTACACGAGTTTTCAAATTAGGAAAACTGATTCTCTCCATCATGACTCTTAATGTTTTAACGTGTAACATAAACGGTCTAAACGACCAAACAAAACGCGACAATTTTTTTGGGTTTCTAAAAAAATCCTCTTTCGATCTCATCCTCCTACAGGAAAAACACTCTGGACCTTCCACTGTTAAACAGTGGGGAGACGAATGGACTGGCGAGTCCATTTGGAACTCCGGTCCAAGTCATAACTGTTGCGGGGTGGCAATACTCTCTAAATCCAACATTTCCTTAAACGAACTAAAAAGGGATAATAACGGTAGGATATTAAATGTCATGATAAAAATAGACGAGCACGAAATGCAGGTGATGAATATTTACGCTCCTAATGTGCCGAGAGAAAGGCGCCTTTTTTTGGCGACCTTGGTGATTTCTCGCAGGACACAGGACTACCCGTCCTGTTGGCCGGAGACTTCAACATGGTCGAAAGCCTGCCTCTCGACACAGAAGGCACGAACAACGCTAAATATCACACCTACGGCGTTGACGAACTCGGAATTTTCCAAGGTAAGTATAACCTAGTTGATGTTTTTCGTTTCAAGTTCCCAAATAAAAGAGAATTCACATGGCGAAATCAGAAGGCAAAATGTAGACTCGATCGAATCTACTGCCCTGATAAAGTCGCCAAAAATACAACATATACAAAAATTCTCACCAACCCCTTTTCCGACCACGAGTTCGTGACAACAACCGTCAATTTTAGTAAAACAAGGAGAGGACCAGGATACTGGAAATTAAATTGTTCTCTTTTGGAAATAGAGGTGCATAGGCAAAAAATTGAACTCCTAATTAAAGATTGGCAAGTTAAAAAACGGTCATACAACTCACTTTTAAAATGGTGGGACGACTGCAAACTTTTTGTTAGGGTAGAATTACAACATATATCTATTCAGGAAAGTGCGAAAAACAAAAAACAGATCAAAAGGATAGAAAACGAAATCCAACGGGAGCGACAAAACGCTAACCCGAATTTAGATAGCATCAAAGAAAAACGCGATGCTCTTTTCTTGCTCCATTTCCCAGAAGCGTTTATTCGCACGAAACAAAAACTAATTGAAGAAGGAGAAAAACCTTCAAAATTTTTGTACAGTTTGGAAAAAACTCAACAGAGGAACAAGTCAATTACCGAAGTTCGCAAGAACGACGGAACATTGACGAGTGAACCTGGCGAGATTTTAAAATCCCTCGTTTCTTATTACAAAAACATCTACACCAAAACAAATTTATGCAAAGACAGCCAAAACTATGTCTTGTCACACATCACTAAACATTTGAGTGATGATGAAAACAAATTTTTAAACACCCGCCTAACCGGCGCGGAGTTAAAAGAAGCCCTTTTTAAATTTGAAAACGGAAAATCCCCGGGCTATGACGGACTTCCAGCTGAATTTTATAAAACTTTTTGGCACATTTTAGAAAAAGATTTTGAAGAGCTTGCTTACGAAATACTTTTCGTAGAAAAAAATACCAGCCACTCTATGAAAAAATCAATAATTTCACTAATTCCCAAGCAAGGAGATCTCACTGAATGCAAAAATTGGAGGCCCATATCCTTAATCGGCGCTGATTACAAAATAATCACAAAAGCGCTGGCCCTAAGACTTGCAAAAGTAATGGGGAAAATTATAGAACCAAATCAAACTTGCGGAATTCCAGGTAGAACAATATTCTCAAATTTACACCTTGTCCGTGATCTAATAGATTACGCTGAATTTAAAAATCTACCTAGTTTCATTTTATCAATAGACCAAGAAAAGGCGTTTGACAAAGTCGATCGTGCGTTTCTGCTGCAAATTCTCCGAAAATTCAACCTCGGAGAAAATTTCGTATCCTTTATTAACACTCTGTATTCAGAAATTTCGGCATCTATTCTGAATTGTGGTTTCTTGTCAGCCCCTTTTCCCACCGAAAGGGGAGTTAGACAAGGAAACCCACTCTCTCTTTTGTTGTACGTCTTTGTCGCCGAAGCTCTTGCTTTGGTGGTCAGAGCGGACAGCAGAATAGAGGGTTTCCCTTTACCAGGAACACCGAAACCGCTTAAACTACAGCAGTACGCAGACGATTCGAACTTTTTTGCCAGGGACGTAAAATCAGTCCGCTTTTTTTTTGAAGCAGTAAAACTTTTTGAAAAAGCAAGTGGTTCAGTGATCAATGCCTCAAAAACCAAGGGCCTTGCTCTTGGGGGCTTTGATCCCAAAATGTACCCGGAATTGGACAACATAGAGTGGACTAATAACACCGGTTTCAAAATTCTAGGTGTTACGTTTTACACCAGGCTGAGTAATACTACCAATTTCAACTGGCTAGTAACTCTAACCAAAATAGAGAAAAAACTCAAGTTTCTGGGACTACGTACTTTGTCACTTAGGGGAAAGACTATGTTGATAAATACGTTAGCATTGTCAAAAGTGTGGTTTCTGGCAAACGTGTTGCCCGTTCCCGAATGGGTAATAGAACGTTTGCACAGCGCCATTTTCGAAAATCTGTGGCAAAAGACCAATTTTAATCCGGTCAAAAGAGAGACGCTTTTCTTACCCGTCAAAAGCGGGGGTCTCGGAATTCTATCACCGAAGGAGCAAAGCCTTGCGCTCCGCCTCAAAACACTCTTTCAACTGAAAGAATGCGGAGAGGAGAACACCCACGATAATTACTACTTTTCAAAGTACTGGTTAGCAAGTTCACTTATTAAATTTACAAACCAAAACCCATGCTGGAATTTTTTAAAACAGAACAATTTTCCAAAACACTGGGACAACAAAATGTCTCAGTACTACAAAACAACTATTGAAATATTAGGCCAAAACGGCTCCCTTTTTAACATCCCCCTAAAATCAACAAAAAATTTTTACTTAGAAGTGGCAAAAAACAAAAAGACAGTCGTACCAGCAGAACTTTTCTGGAACGGTTCAACAAAAACAACAATGCCGTGGACCCAAATTTGGAAAAAGAACTTCACCTCCCACGCATGCGGACCGACTCAAAACATCCTCTTTCGATTTTTGCACAACAGTCTACCTTCTGCGGCCTTGCTAGCCAAAAGCACAAGGCAACAGATAGTCCAAAAAAACAAATGTAAAACTTGTGGTAAAATCGAGGACAATCTTCACATCTTTGCCTACTGTCCTCCCTCTGTTGAAATTTGGGAATATTTTAAACATGTATATAACTCCTTGACGTCCCAAAAGGGTTTTTCGCCGATAAATTCGATTTTCTCTATCGGAACCGCGAATTTATCGGAAAAGAACCCTACCTCGCAACTGCTGTTGACACTCACCCAAACCATCATGAGTGAGATATGGAACAGCAGATGCCACCACATGTTTAGTAACATGAAAATTGACCCAATGGCAGTGATCAGGATAATTATCAGGAAAATCAGGAATATCATTACTTTAAAATATAATTATCATGTCCGTAGAAATACTACGAACATTTTCTGTCAACTTTTTTGTGTTAAAAATATAATATGCCAAGTAGAGAACAGAAGACTGAAACTAAACATATGAGCTAAACTGACACGCAAGCTCAGTAAAAGTACTATGTGTTTAGTGATGTTTTCCCTTTCTCTGCGAAATATTATTTTTACAACAAAATATTATTATTTATGATTAAAAAATCACTGCCAGCCTTTATTTAATGAGTTAAAGTCTCTCTTTTTAAATGTTTTTCTGTAGCGTACGTTATGTAATGTTTGTGTTAATGTCTTGTAATTTTTGCTGTTATATTATTATAATTTCATTCCTTATATAAAAATTTCATGATTTCTTTTTAAAACATCTCCATCTTTAACTTTCTCAAATCTTCCGATTCTCTCTGCACAATATAATATAAAATCGAAAAACAAAAAAAAAAACAAAAAAAAAAAAAAAAAATATATATAAAATCGAAAAACTCAAAAAAATATAAAATCGAAAAAAAAAAAAAAAAAAAAAAAAAAAAGTATGTATATATATAAAAACAGTTGTAAACCATCTCTATTGTAAATTGATATAAACTTTATATATGAAACTTATATATTGTAAAACCTCAACTTTCTGTATCTGACTTAATGTAAACTTTATAAAATTTGTAAAAAATTGTTAATTTAAAATATATTTTATAAAAAAAAAAAAAAAAAAAAAAAAAAAATGACGAGAGTTGGACAAGCGAAGAATTTTTAAGTTCCAGCGCTGACAGTTTGTTTGATGAAGGCAAGATAACTTTAATTTAAAAATTGTATACAATATTATTTAATACAATTATATCACTTAATATGATAATTTGAAGTTTTTATTTTAATATTTATGTAGACTTCAGTCTGATGGCAATGTTGATGTACGTGATGTTGGTGGTAATGTT